GGATTGGCAGACTTAAGTGTGGGCTCAGGAATTTTAAAAGGTGTTTATAAGTGCATTAATAAGCGGTCATGTACATATAAGCACTACAGAGGAGTGCTGCATTGGGGGACCTGTTGTCAAGGTCCTGTTTATGCTGCTAAGCAGATTTTTGGAGGCTAAAAATCAGAGGTGAGTTCTGGTGGCTTAGTGGAAAAGAACTTCACTGCCAATACAAAAGGTACACAGTTCAAACAGCGGCTCCATAGAAGGAAGATGGGACCATCTCCTGCATGTGATTTACAGACTCTGAAAACCGACTGGAGGGTCAGCGACGGGTCGGTTCTCACTTGACGGTCCATGACAGACAATCTATGTGACTGGTTGTTGCCATCTTTCTCCCACAGAGCAGCTGGGGGATTCGAACCATGTGCCCTTGGGTCGGCAGTGCAACGCCTTACCACTAGGCCACCCAGAGCTCTATTCATCCTAACCCTTACCGTGATTTGAAATTGCTTGGGTTTGTCCATTTTTAAACTTAATGCTAATAGAACCAAGGAAAGTATACATTTTCTATTTGTTATCTTTAGTTTCCATTAAGTTTGTGAGATTTATCCAAGTAATTAAGTATACTGGAGACCATTTTCCTGGCTGTGGAAAATGATCAATCTGTCACATGATCACGTCGTAATTTATTTATCCATTAGACCGTGATGGGCAATGACAGTTTCCTCAGACTGAACATTCCTGTACATGTATTTTTGGTCAAATTATGCTCAGAATTTTCCTGACTACTTATTACAAGTTCAAGTACATGTATATAAGTTCAGCTTCAGTAACTATTGCCAATTTCCCAAGGCAGTTGCGCCAACCTACACCACCATCTCAAGTTCTGAGAGTTCCTTTTGCTTTGTACAACTACACACAATATTCACGAAAAATTTGGTTTATTTGGTCAGGGCACTCAGTATATGTCAACCACAGGCCCTCAGTTTAAAAAATCCCTATCAAGAGCAGACTTTCCACTAAAAGAGGTCTCACAAAACTACAGAAATAAAAACATATAGATGTTTTATTACTGCCATATTTTTCTAATAAAGATTTCCCCTTGATTTTTCCTTTTACAATTCATGGTGTTTTTCAAAGCACTGGGAGTGGAAAGCAATTCCCCTTCCAACCCGGATCAATGAGGTGTTTCTGACTGCTCTGCAGTCCACCCTGATTTCTACCTCGGAGGATCTAAATGGTCTAAACTCGGAGGGGGGCAGGGATGAATCATAGTTAAGCACTTAGGCTCCAAATGAATTAAATGCATTTAGCCACTTCCATATGATTCAGTATTGATTGGGAGCCTTGAGAAAGAGTTGGTGCCCACATCTCAAACACTGCTCTGTTTCTCAGGGTGCTGAAGCTTCGTCTTTGTGTATTCCAGCCCCGCTCACAAAGAGGTCATTAAAGGATGTCCCACGAGGTAAAGCACTGAAAGGGACCTTTTTTTATGAAGGCCAGAAGTTAAAATGCAACTTCTTTCTGTCTCAACAGAGCCTCTGGCTTCAATAATTAGTATGCTAGTATTTCATGAATACCAGACAAACCAACTGCATTGTCATGTTTAAAAGCAAACATACTTCTAAATATTTGATCTTTACAAATCAGCCACAGGTTTATTACTCTTTAGACAGAAGAACTGATAAATAATGCAAGAATAAGGCCCATCTTCCTGGGAGGCTGAGACAGAATTGTTAGGAAAATGTTTCATAGTTTCGAGGAATGGTAAGCGAGGTTACTCGGAAGATGATCGCTCTCATTAAGGGAAATGAAAAATGCCAGGTAAAACATAAAACATCTGAATCCTAAAAACATGTATGATTTGAAAAGGCAGTTGAGAAGGCTCAGATACTAAAAAGTCAGTAACTAGAAGCTGGAAGTGTCTGTCAAAAATACAAAGATGGGGCTTCAGTGGAGCCATGGAGGAGTTTGGGACTACGCCCTCCCAACAGGCTGTGCAACTTTTCCTCTGAGCTGTGGTTAGAGGAGGTGGGTAAGGTAAAACCAGAGTCAGTGACCTGCACCTCCACGTACGTTCTCCCCAGAACTTGACTAGTTTGCCCTGGGAAGTTACGAGGTCTGCCATCTTAATTCTCAGGGAGTTGCATACCATGCACAGACAGGAAAGCCGTCTCCACAAGGAATCTCCACGCTTGTTCCGCTGGAGCCCTGACTATCAGCGACTCTAGGTCCTGGCGGAAGCGAACATGAAACCTTTCTAAAGGGAAGAAGTCTCCAGTCTAGGCCTCGTGAAAGCTCTACTGTTAATTTCAAGAGTCACCAATATAGGATAGCCAGACAGAGAAAAGAGATATAAACAAGATATGCATACGTCACAGACAAAGCTGGATTTTAAGAAGCTTCTGTTAATGGAATTCTCAGACACAATGTTGTCAATAAAGATAACAATGGAAAATATGCTATAGATACATTCCAGTATGTAGGAAACTATAAAAAAGGAATAGAAAACAATGAGAAGCAACGTAGTACATCTGGGGGGGAAAGAGAAGTAGAATCTCTAGAAGTGACAGAACCAATATATTTTTCAAAAATAATTCTAATTCAAAACTCAATGGTTGTACTGGACAGCAGACTAAGTATAACTGATAAGAGAAACAGACTAAAAGAAGCTGTCCCTACTGTAACACTGAGAAGTTTAAAAAAAAAAAAAGGTACAATGGAAAATATAGGGAGGAAAAAACAGTAAAATGTATGGAAAATATAATTAGAGAAGAAAAAAAGAAAGATCCAAAAACAATGGCTGAGATTTTTTTCCCAATCTGATGAAATAGTATAAATAATATATTGAAGCTACACGGAGAATATAAAACAAAGTAAAAAATAAACTAATATTTTAAATTGAGAAAGTACACCACCACAGAGAGGCTTTTTTAAGTCTTAAAATGGGGGGGGGGTGACTATCATCTTTTTAGAGAAGAAAATTATCTTTTATCTTCTTCAGAAAAGCAAGCTAAGAGCTAATATCTTAATGACAATAATGGAGAGATAAACAATGAAATTATTTCATCCTAGAGCTCCAAATAAACAACTGCAAACCCAGAATACCATTCAAGAAGGAAGGCTGTGCTTTCTGACAGTGACCTCCACATCCAACGTGCCTCCCGCAAAGGATCATCCTTCATCCCTCTCCAGCCTCCCACAAAGGATCATCCTTCATCCCGCTCCAGCCTCCCACAAAGGATCATCCTTCATCCCGCTCCAGCAAAGGAGAAGAAGAAACACAAGGAGCCGCGCCTGGTGCAGAGCCCAAGTTTCCACTTCACGGATGTGAAATGCCCGGGATACTATCAAGTCACCACAGTCTTTCGCTGGGCACTCACAGTAGCTCTGTGCATTGACTGCTCCACTGCTGTCAGTCAGCCGACAGGAGGGAAAACAAGCCTTACAGAGGATGCGCCGTGAGAAGGAAGCATTAAGAAGAACACGCTCAATCAAGATGAATGGAAGATTATCTCAATAAAGAGAATTTTGGAGAAAAAACAAAGCAGCACAGAAAAAGCAGAAAGTCACTAGCAGACAAGCTCGTTCATTGCCATGGATCTGGAACCACCTTCCAGGTGACCTTGCCCGGCTTCTCCAAGGCTGTAAACTGCAGAGCGAGGCTGCCCACCATTCCCCTGCAGGGGTGCAGGTGGATTCAACTGTGAGAGAGGCACAGCATTTGTATTAGTCGGGTGACTCCCTACACATCACGCCACAGGAGTTCCAAACTATTCCCTCAAAAAAGAGAGAAAAAAGAAAAAGACACTTTCAATGGAAGTGCTGAGAATCAAGAAAATAAGTAAAATAGCAGTCGACATGTGAGCAAGTACTAATGTCTATCAACTATATTAAAACAGCAGTAATGAGATCTGGTGGAGGTAACCAAAAGTGAGACCGAGTCAACCGCCTGGCTCGACTTTCAGCTTAACAATAGACAGGTCTCCAAGTTGAACAATAGCACCAGTTATTCTAAAAATCACCAACCATATACGGTCAAAAGGGCAGCACTTATCCAAGCATACAGCTCAGAAGGCGGGAGAATAGAAAATGAGAATCACAGCAAAGAAGCGGATTACACTCTGAGGGTGGTAATTATTATTACAAAACAATATATGCAGAGTTGATTGGATAGGAACCAATTAACTTTGTAAATTCTGACTCGTATCACAATAGACATTAATTCATAGAGGTTGAGATTTTTACCACATAGGATAATGGATTATACAGAGAATTATGGCCTTGTCAGGTCAACACCTACTTCCAGGGGACAAACTTCAGTCCATGACAGTGACCTTAAAATAGAGAACTGCCCCACAGAATTTTCAAACGTATAATCCTTATGGAATTAGATTCCCAGGGCTTTCTCCCATGGAGGAGCTGGTGGGTCTGAACCACTAACCTTTCGGTTAACAGTTAAGTACTTACTTCAAGGCTCCTATGAAAACGTAATGTTAGTCTTTTCTTCTCTCCCAGCTCAGGGAAAAGTCCCTTTAAGGCAGGGGGTCTTAACAAGGGACAATTTGAACTCCAAGGGAATATTGATTGAGACATTTTTGGTTGTCACAACCTCATTGGGGCAGTGAGGGAAGACCTGAGTGCAATCAGGGTCTAACAGGTAGAGAAATACTACAGAACCCACAGCAAGGAAGTGTCGCCATTTGTTATGCCACCAATGCTTGAAAAACCTGTCCCTAAGGATATATGCCATTGGTTTTAATAATCAGGGAGCAAGTAATAAACGGCAGGTTCAGGAGGTAAGGTGTCAACCAAGGAGGAACTATTTTAACGAATGAACAGGAAAAATCTCTAGAAAGTCAACAAAAAGCAAAGAGTTTTCCTATGTCCTTCCTGCCAGGGGAGTAGCTTTTCTCAAAGGTTATGTCACACAAAGTATAACGAAGCATCTGTAAACTGTCTCTTCACAAACTTCCCAAGTGAATGAAAAGTCATTCTACAGAACCATGAAAACTCACCGTTGAGCGATAGTCTTTCAACAAACCAGGATACTGAATTATTGCTTCAAAAGCGGACAGTGTGATCTTGATAAATTCTTCACACACGACTGGTCCTAGAAATACAGTTAATTATTGTTGTTATGTACCTTTTGAGTCAGAGTTGACACATAGCTGGCTCTCCAGGGGGTTTTCAAAGGCAGTAAATCAGAGGAGAGGAAACTGTCCATCTTTCTCCTACAGAGCAGATGGTGGCTTTGAACCACACACCTTTGCACTGGCAGTGCAATTTCTTGCCTCTAAGCCACCAGAGCTCCCTTGTTAATTATCACAGGTGCTTATTTACATGTTCTCAGCCACAACATGAACGTACTAGAGACATTATCTCAAAGGAAACTCACCTACAGCTCCATCTATGTTCGTCTCTCCTGAGTCTACGGATTTAATATGACTCTGTTAAAAAAAAAATGTAAAAATTTTAATAAATGTTTCAAAATCACTGTCAAATGGCACACAGGTCATTACTGTTTCACTTATAACTGTACCTGCCAATCATAAAGGAAGAAGCCATGAGCAGTGTTAAACACTGTACGCACACTATGTTGTTATGGGCCACAGATGCACCTTTGACTCATAGCAACCCTATTGTACAACAGCCCTAAACCCTACTCCATCCTGTGCCAATCTTATTATCTCCGACACATCTACCCCCATTACCCCAGTCACTGAGTCAACCCATCTCATCGAGGGTCTTCCCCTCTCGCGCTGTCCCTCCATCCTCCCAACACACACCATAGATATTTAAAAACAGGTTTATTATAGGTCTCCTAGCCAAAGTCACAAATCATTATTGATGAAATGTAATTCTAGAATCAATTCAATAGTAATACAAGCACAAAAAGATTAACCGGCCAAAAGGAGGGTAATTTCCAGTAATCTTTTAGACCACCTCACTCCCTAGCCATGGAAGTTAGTGAGAAAGACCTCTGAGAAAGTCAACAGTCAGTCCAAAGAAAAGTCAGCCTTCACTACTAGGGGAACACGATACATCAGGAGAGAGCCGTTCAGATCTCGAGGTCTGTCTGCAAATTCCACTGCTCCTTTTAGTCCCGCTTAATAGCAAACACACGTTTGACTGAATATAATTTAAAGAAAAATCCAGTAGCCCATTTACAGAGAACTTCCATCCAATCCACATTCAGAAGAGGATATAGAATGAGAATATCATTGCTGATAGCACTTGGAACCATGGTGAAAGCAGAGAGCATCAGAAAGTGCTAACCAACGTTACAATGATGACACAACGAAATCTGAGTGGATAACAAATCATGAAGCACATTGCAAATAATGGGAATTTCTAATCATTCAACTGTGCTCATGCACATACGTACATGTAACTGAACAAAACAAGAGGACACTTGATTTTAAAGCAGGGTTTAGAATCAAGAAAGGTGTGTGTGTCCGGGTTCTCTCCTTTACTGTTACCTATGCAATCTTTAAGAGAGCGCTGATAGTCTAATGGCAAGAAGCTCTGCTGCAATAACCAAAAGCATGTGGTTCGAGGCCACCAGCTGCTCCACAAGAGAAGGATGGGCTGCTGGAGGGTCAGCTATGGGTCGCCTCTGACTCTATGGTACAACAACAACATGCAATCTTTATGCTGAGCAACAAATGTCAGTTGATTCAAGTAAATCTACTTCACTGCATAAGATCACCAAGTAGACAAAGAAGAAAGACAATGCATAATACCATCCTTTTCTGTACTTTATTGGGGGAAGTATAAAATCAGTATGATACCCATCAACAAAGAAATGGATAGAGCAACTGTGGTATATTCACACAATGGAATACTACACTGCATTGAAAATAAAGGAGCCCATGCAATATTATTCAAAATGGGTGACCCTGGAGGACATTATGCTGAGTGAAGTATCTCAGTCACAAAAGGACAAATACTGCATAGTGCCACTTGTAAAACAGGACTGACATCAGGGTTGGGAAGAGACTGAGAAAGATGGGATAAATAATGTACACTGCATTGAAACAGATGAGGGAGAAAATTGTTTAAAAGGACTATGTGATTAGGTATTTTTGTCATGACAGGAGTCCAGAATGAAGGCTGCATAGTAGAGTGCGCATGGGGGAAGGGATTGTAAAACAATAATTTCTTTTTTACTTTTCAAAGAGAAGAGTGTACTGGGGAGGGGTGGTGGGCAGGGAGAAAAGTACAACAATGAACTGAAATCCAAAGTCTGTAAATTTTCATTAAAATGAGTAATAAAAACATTTTTTTAAAAAATCAGTATGATAAAAGGATACAACTCCATTGCATACTTTTCTTAATTTTAAACCGCAAGTGTGTCCTCTTGCTCTGTCCCAGTGATTACTTCTTGGTCTATGTTCAGGTTCCACATGAGCACAAGAAATATTCTTTGCAATGTTATCTATAATTTGTTATAATCTATGGAGCTGACCCTTTGCATCACCAATAAAATTGTTTTCAGCCAAAATCCATCTGACATCAGCAGCATCCTATCTTTTATTCCACCTTCTCTGTGAAACCAACACTCTGGGAGTTTCCCCCCAGATAACTTGCAGCAGCTGTTTGAAAATTACCATTAGCAAAAGATCACTTGGGGTTGATGTGAAGAATAAATCATCAGCATTGCTGTTGTTAGGTGCCGTCAAGTATGACTCACAGCAACCCTATGAACAAAAGATCTGAACCCTGTTCTATCCTGCATTATCCTCACACCTCCTGACAGACAAGAGCCCACTGCAGCAGTCACCACTGTAGGACTCATTAACAACATGCGATACGCAGATGGCACAACCTTTGAGGCTCAAAGTAAAGATCTGAAGCACTGGAGAGTACTAGAGCACTTTAGTCTTTAAGACAAATTTCAACATGTGTACTTTAGTTTCAACATAAAACTCCTCACAACTTCACCATTAAGAAACATAATAATCTGACAAAAATTGTCAAGGATTTTATTTAGATCCATAATTAACACCCATAAAAGCAGAAGTCATAAATCCAGGGACATATTACTGCTTAGGACAATTCTGCTATAAAAGAACTCAATAATATGTTTAAAAAAAAGATGTCACTTTGACAACTAAGGTGAGCTAGCCCCAAACTTGGTATGTTTAATTACCTCATATGCATGTACAAGTTTGACAAATAAGGTAGGCTGAATATCTGATGTCTCTAAATTAAGGTGATGATGAAGAATGCCTAATGTATCATATCAGAAGAATGAACATAAACAGCTATTGTGGGAAAAGTACAGCCAGAATGCTTCTTAAAAGAAATCTGGTCTAAAGTATTTGACATATTATCAGAAAGGACAAGGTCCCTGGAGAAAGACGTCATGTTTGGGAAAACGGAAAATCAGAAGAGGAAAAGAAGACACCCAAGGAAACCGATTAACACAGCGACTACAACAATGTGATTCTCTGGATGTTGTTGTTGTAGTAGCATCCCTTCTACTCGGAACCAACCCATAGCTGACCCCACCAGCAGGTTTTCAAAGGCAGTAAAAAGCACAGCAGACGGCCCATCCTTCTCCCACAGAGCAGCTGGTGGATTAGAACTGTGTGCCTTCAGGACTGCAGTGCAGCTTCTTACCACTAGGCCACCAACTACACTTTGGCATGAGTGGCCCTTGTCCCTTGAGATTACATAACACCGGCTTACTGTTAGTCTCTGCGTGCTGTTACCTCCAAAATAACAATGATTGGAGGCCGGAAACAAATAACAATGAATGTTAGGATGGTGAGGGGCCCAGCAGCATTTCTGCAGAAACAACAGATTTTTAAGAAAAAATGGCAGGAGCAGTATGCAGAGACCAACAGTAAGTTAGTGCTTAATATCCAATTGTGCAGACATCTGCAGAGGACCACAGCCCAGAGGGGTAACCCACTGACCATCCTCACATGGCACAAGCTTCAAAGCTGGGGCTTTCGCTAAAGAGCGAGAGAATAAGGCAGAAAATCATGCGCAGAGGGAGGGCGCCCTCTATGCTATGCTCCTAGGAAGGGTCACTGCTTGTCCAGCACATGAAAACTTCCCCTCAAAGAAAACAAGCCCTATACCAAAATTCCGGAGCCCTGGTGGCACAGTGTATAATCAGGTGGGTTGCTATTCAAAAGACTGGTTGGCGGTTCAAATCCACCAGGCACTACACAGGAGAAAGACGAACAATCTCCTTCCACTAAGACTTAACAAGCCTGGAAACTGAGTAGAAGGTGTAAAAATTGTTCAATTTGTCTATATCTTTGTATATATTTTTTTCACCATTTTTTGTAAAGGTTTGGGAAGAGGAAGGGGAAAATAAGTTTAAGGAAATAATTCCCGTCTTTGGAGAGCTTAAAGGTGGCATAGTGGCGACAGCTGTACAACATGACTGACACACTATCAACAGCACTATCCTGTATGTTTAGCAATGGCTGGAATGGCAAATGATCTCTATTCATCTATAAAAACACAGTAAAAATGACGCAAATGACGAATTTTTTGTTCTAATAAATATTTTAACATAGCACTTCTTGTTTTCAGGTGTCACTGAGTTGGCTCAATGCTACAGTGACTCCCTCGAACAGAAATCATGCCCGATCCTGTTCCCTCCTCACAAACCCTGCTGTGTTTAGGCTCACTGCTGCGGCCAATGTCTCGTTCCATTTCCCTGAGTTTCCTCTTCCCTCTCGCTGTCCACCTTTACCAAGCATGGCATCCTTCTCCAGGGATTGGCCAACTCCCAACAATGGGACAAAAACACAACATGCTAGAAAATACTAAGGATATAAGGAAACTCTGGTGGCCTAGTGGTAAGAAACTGTGCTGCAATTACAAAGGTGCCTGGTTCAAATCTACCAGCTGCTCTGTGGGAGCAAGAGGGCAGTCTCCTCCCATGTGATCTACTGTCTGGAAAACCCACAAGAGGGTCAGCTATGGGTCGGTTCCAACTCAACGGTACACAACAAGAAGATATTAATAAGTATAAAGTGGCCCTAGATGACTTACATGTATGTAATGAATAGTAAATACTTGTTTTTCTTTTGTATTATGGGTGATTTGGGTAGAAAAATGTAACCAGTACATAATCACTGCACTTTAAGAACTAATGAGGCCATAAACACAATAAAATTCTTTTCCTCAACTCATTAATCAAGCAGCGTTTTGAAAAGGGCATGAGAAAGACAGTAAACATTAGGTTAATAAACATCATGAGTTCCAGATCAGATGCTCTTAAAGCCGTAACATCCTCCTTCCCTGCTGGACTCCACAGAGGCCCAAAACCTATGCTACGCACCAGAGAATCTCCGCAGAACCTTTCTCCAGACACTTCACTGCTGAGGCACAGAGACCGAGGTGTGCGAGATGAGCGCTGTGGGGGCTGACAAGAAGCGAAAAAAGCCGCTATCAGCTGAGACTTTTCTTTTGGCTAGAGTCTGCGATGGGAGGAAGACGGGCAGCCTCCTCCTGTGTGATCAACTGCCTCTAAAAGCTCACCAGAGGATCAGCTATGGGTCGATTCCGACTCTACAGTACATAACAAGAGCCTCTGCAGATGTGATAATGTTTGAGAGAGCTGTACTACCTTATTTCAAAATCCAAGGCTCTTTTAAGGGAGCCCTGGTGGCCTAATGGTGAGGAACTGCAGTGCCAATTTGAAGGCACGTGGTTCAAATCCACTAGTTGCTCTGTGGGAGATAGATGGGCAGTCTCCTCCCCTGTGACTTACTGTCTCTGAAAACCCACTGGACTGTCAGCTATAGGTAGGCTCCAAATCAATGGTACACAACAGGCTCTTTTAAAACATTATTCTACTCGGAGAAAAACATTTACAGAAAGTTCATGCCTATGTGTCACACTCACATGTTAAAATATCTCTGAATATTTTTTTAAGTCTATGAGTTGTCTACGACTCAACGGCACTTACCAACCACATAGAGAGAGCTCAGTTGGCCCTAGTGGATAGAAAGTGATGCCATCAAGCCAAAGGCGGGTGATTTTTAACCTGTGGCCATCAGGCCTGATTTTCATTGTCTTTGGTCAAACATTCTTCTTAGTGTTATAGCACTGGTCTGTGCATTGCTGTACAGAGGTAACTCATGGTTGCTGTGAAGCTGAACACTGTAATACTGATGTGTCAGATGCAATAATGGTTACCCAAGGTGGACAGTGTTTGGTGGAGTTCCCCGATTAAAACACGTTTGGGAAGCAGGAGTGGCATCCACTTCCAAAATAGCTTGCCTCTGGGAACCCTATGAATGTGGAGAAACAATGAAACTTGCACAGCTGTTCAGGTCTTTAATAGGTTCGCCATAAGTCATCTACAACTCGACAGCACTTAACAACAGGTAAAAGAGGCAAAGCATACTGTGGTGTTGCTATGAAGAATGAACCAACGCCTGCTGTTGTTAGGTATCACTGAGTCAATCACAATTCATAGCGACCCTGTGAACAGCAGATACAAACCTCGCCCATCCTGCGCCAGCCTCACAATCACGGATACAGTTGAGCCCATTGTTACAATCAGTGTCCATCCATCTAGTTGAGGGCCTGCCTCTTTCTCTACTCTCCACCTTTCCCAGCATGACGTCTTTGTCCAAAGCCTCGCCTAACAACAAAGCCAAAGTGAGAGAAAAAGTTCCACCGCACTCAAGCCAACAGGAAACATAATTCCTGCTCCTTAAGATTCCTTCCACTGAGCAGATTAACTTCAAACTAACTCTGACCTCTGTCTCCCCACCTCCTTGTGGGCTCTCTAAGTGTGAGTATGGAGGACCGTAAATCCTAGAGAGCTGTTTTAGTAAGAAGACCAAGTTCTTGGCAAGTCTTGCTGCTACAGGATACAGCCACCGATGGTGGTCCAGCCTTGAAGATCTCCAGTTAAGGCCTCTTTTTAAAGGATTATCTATCTGGCCTAATGTAGCTGAGGTACTCTACAGATAAACTCCTGGAAGTATTGAAATTACATCTCCAAAGGGAGCAGTCAGACTTGAAAGGCACACCAGTAAGTATGGAGATGTGGAGAGACTGCTTCCTCACGACACCAGAGAAACTCTGCTTGAAGTTCAAGTGTTGTTCACAGGCTGATTTACAGGTTCATCTGCAGACTAGTCTACTGAACAGCAGTAACGGCTGTGGATTCAAAGCCAAGTTAGTCAGTAAACCTTAAAAAAAAGGGCTTAGGAAACCTCAACTTGAGCAAAATTAAGACTTCCTTTCAAGCAGGAGCCTCAAGAGGCTTCCCAATGCCCATCTGCACCGCGGCTGTTCTAAGGGACCGTGGAGTGAGGCGGCTGTGACTCACGACATCAGGAGGCGACTCAGGTCATATACAGAGAATGTAATCCTGGACAGAATACGAGTCAACCCAGAGAAGTAACATCCGGCTCCCTGCAGGCCACGGCAACGTGATCAAGTCCAAGTCCTGAGCCGTGGTTGGTCATTCTTCCCTTCCCTGTCACTGTATTAGTGCCATCAGCATTGAGCAGAAGAAATATCTAATAACAGGGAGCATTAAGAATTGAAGAATTTCAAAAACTTGATACAAGGAAAACAGCCTGAGGAGGGCTTTTCATTTTGACTTCGCTCCCTCCCTCTCCCCTCTAGTCATTCTCATCCAAGGGTAAGCCGACTCCCAGGAGAGGGTGAGAAGGCCCTTCCTCCATGTGGACTCGTCCCTTATCATTGAGTGAGCCTCTGTCAGGAGTCAACCTGGACCTCAACACTCAAACTCACTGCCGTGGAGCTGAATCGACTCAGACACTTCCAAGACCAAATCATACGGAAGGACACTGTCCATCTTTCTCCCCGGGGCTGCTGTGGATTCAACCCACCAGAGGGGCCTGGTCTTTGCAGCATTTGTAGTGTAAAGGCCACTAGAGCTTCCTAGGAATAAACTTGTCATTTCCAAAAGCCTGGACAGACTTTCAAGTTGAAGACACTTGGTGGTTTCTAGACTATCTAAAAGGGACTCAAGTAAATACAGGCAGGGAAAAGACAAATGGGCAAAAAAATAAGGAAAGAGACAGGTATATAAACCCTCACATACACAAACTGCGTGCCAAGATATTCCGAAGCAGACCACAAGGTCAAAAGCACTGTGCACCGTTATTATGTTAGTGCAAAGGAATTATAAATGCAACATTAAAACCACGCTAAAATGATGACCAGGCTGCAAGTATGGGTTACAATTGTTTTCTAAGACTTTTAAAAATGCACAAATGTGCTACTAGTATCACAGACGTACCAGAATTCAGGATTTAAGACGCCTATCCAATAAAGATTTGGTGCAGAGCACACAAAAAAACCCATCTACTGCATTCTTTTCTTTGAACCAGTTGCTTCCCAACAGATGTGGACCCACACTCTGCATGTGAGCTTCAAAAGATCACACGTGGCCCTGGGATGAACCTTCTAGAAAACCACATTCTCACGTGTTGGTGGCAATCTTTTTATTCACACACACACACTAACAATAAAATTGAGATGCCTACTTCATTTTAACTCGAGACCTCGGTGGCATTTCTGAAATCTCAGCTGAGTGCTTGCTATTATCAAAGCGAGACTGGAGACGCAGGGAGGCGAACGCCTTCGCCCACCCTTTTGTGTCACTCAGCACTTCATCCACTACACGTACCGTGTGTCTTCCAGGCAAGGATAATGTCAATCCTGAGCGACGGTGGGAACAAAAACACAATTCTGGGCAACCAAAGATTGGGCAAAAGAGAACAATTCGCTTTTGTGGCTGTTATCCAAATTAATTTTAAAAGCAAACAAAAAAATTGAGCTTCATTTGGAGAAATGTCATTATAAAAAGAGGTTGAGCATGACTGACACTGTAAGCTAACATAAATGACAAAAATATTCTTAGCATTTCAGTTATATTTATTACTTAAAATTTTTTTCATGCCTTTTAATACCAAAAATCTATTAATGTGCTTCCATGGGCTTATTTTTCCCATTTGGGGCTGTTTCTGAACAAAAATGCATTATCTGAAGAGAATGTATTTTCCTCCAAATGTCAAGTTTTATTACAGTCAACAGATAAAAATATAAAAAGGTCATTCCCTAGAGACAAATAAATACCACTAGGATTTTAAAATTACCTCATCCTGACACCAATTCCACAAACAGTAGAGACAGCCGCATTTTTTATGAGGAATGTGAAAAACGCAGAGTTACTTACAAGAATAGTTCCGTAACTGAAGAGGAACTCCTCTGTTACAACTTGAGGTCGAAAAACCTTGTAAAAGGAGAGGTAGCAGAGATTAAATCCTGAAAGCCATATACAATTTTAGGCCAAGAAAAAAGAGAAAAAATCCTGAAAAGTATTTCATCCGAGTCAATGGTTACCAAGCTCTAATTTACAAACAATAGATTAGATTTTTATTCTTTTTCTCCCCCTCTAGTGAAAAGAGTACCTGAGAAGTCACCAGGTGAAGCACCACAGGCATCAGGGGAAGGCAGATCTTCAGCTGCTTTGCCTGCACCGTGGATGGGTGTTTCCGGCCGGAAACGTTAGCCAGAGCGTTAAGAATGTCACCTGTGAAGCACACCCCGGGGTATGTATGAGGTGAGGGGCTGAGACACAAACCTTCAGGGATTACTGGAGCACCAACGGGGGTTCTGAGGCCGCCAAAGAAGTGGGGAGAAAGAGGGGCAGTTTCTTCTCAATTATTAAAGTTATTCTCGTTGTGGTTTCTCAAGAAAAGGACATTTAAAAAAAAAAGGGACATTTTGCAAGTTAATGTCAGGTGCCATCGAGGCGTTTGGGGCAGAGTCACCACCTCTGTACCACAGAACAAGGCACCGACCGACACTGTGCCACCATCGTCACTGCTCTGCGTGAGCTCACTGCAGTGGCCACTGAGCCAGTCCTTCTGGTGTGGGGTCTTCTGTTTCTTTGACCCTCAACTTTACAAAGCCTGGTAACCCTCTCCAGCCACTTGCCCCTCCTGAGAACTTGGCAAAAAACATTTTGCATACAGTCAAATAATGTAACTTCTCGTCTAGAAATTTTAATTAGAATTTATACATGGTTATTTTAGGTTAGTGGTTTTTTAAATCACTTGATTTTTAAAATATATTTAAAAAAAAAATAAAAAGACAACCTGAATTGTCAAGAGATTAGATCCTTTCCTTCGAGTGGGAGTTAAAAATGGTTACAATCCATAGTACATTTTCAAGGATTGGAGGCAAGGGTTCTGGGGCTTCATCTGATTTACTTTGGACATGTTGTAAGGAGGGACAGGTCCTTGGAGAGGGACATCATGCTTGGGAGGGTGGAGGAACAGCACAGGAGGGGAAGGCCCTCTATGAGGTGGATTGATTCAGTGACTGGGGTAATCGGGATGGGTGTGTCAGAGGCAGTGCGATTGGCACAGGATAGAGCAGGGTTTAGGGCTGTTGTACATAGGGTCGCTATGAGTCACAAGCGACTCGACGGCACATAACAAGGTGCCATTACTTCATCTAAGACTCACAGGGACTCCGAACCTTGCCCTCCCCCGAACCAGCCCCACCATCTGACACACTCGCCCCACTGTCACTGTGTCAGATCATCTCTTCCAGGGTCTTCAGTAAGGAGCACAGTGATACTATAAATCAGCCGTGTAAATCAGTACTTTGACTTGATAATTTGACTTTCTGAATCTAAATCCATTTTAACACAATACCTTGGATCTTTTTTAACATGTTAAGCATTTCCGGTTTATAGCTACATCTGCTGGGAAACCATGGAATGAGGCTTTAAACATTTGGAAAACGGACATGATCCTCAGAACATTTTGATTTCAGCAGACAATAAAGATTTTTCTTAAGTTGTAATAAATATTCGGTACAAATCATCAGCAGGTATTCTTGATCCTAAAGACAATTCGTCACTAGAGAAATTTTCCAATTTCAAGGTCACTAATGCCAGACTATTTAATAGTGTACATATTTTTTTAAATCCTTTTTACAATAAATATATTTGTAGCTAAAACCTGAAAACAAATTCTCTTCAGCATTAGGCAGAGAGAAATCATGGGAATGGGGCAATATTGAACATACCAGTGAAAGCACTAATTGTAAACAACTACATGCTTTCCTTACACTTCTCCGAAGAGTCCATTTACCCCAAATAACATGTTACTGTACCCTGCAGACTGCTCTTTTCCTCAATCATTTCACTGAAGTGAAAGAATTAGAGCAAACCATTTCACTGAGGTGAAAGACCTTCTAGAGAGAGAAGCCAAATTTGAATCTCGAAATGCACACTCATGAACAAGTGAGGCTCCAGGGCCTCTCTGCGGTAACAGACACACCAGAATGACGGGGAGAAGCAGCCACGGTGCGGAAAGGGAAGAGCAGTGGGGCGAGCAGGAGAGCCTCCCATTTACCCAGGATGTGCGGCAGCTCCTGCACGATGTGACGGATGAGGAGGTCCAGGCACCTGGACAGGTATTCATGGCCGCTCTGCTGCTCCTTGCCTGGAGCAGCCTTTCTGCTGTCTCTCTCGATGTACATCACCAGGCTGCACACAGAGCAGAATGCAAAAGATTACCTCTCAGGATAAAACAGATGATCACAGCGGCCTGGAAATGCCGCCAAGTGATTCCAGAGGGCACCGTCCCAATCACGGGGACATTTCGCTTTGTAGCAACGTGTCAAGGCGCACGGAGAGGTTCTCGCCTTACAAATATCTAAGGATTTATGCGAGAAGAAAATAAAGCGACTTTGAATCTCTCTGCAGATGGAATACTAAACGATGTCCTGACTGCCCTTGGCCAATGAAGAGATGCACCTCTTTCCAGCTGACAGAGGAAAGGGTGGCAGAGGTGTCTGGCCAGAAGAGAGAGGTCTCTTGGTGTTTCAAACACTCAAACTCCAACAGCAAGTCCACTGTACTTCATAGGGCCTTAGGATCAAACTCACAACTTCAAGCAATACATGTGAATTCTTGTCTCTCTGAATTGTATACATAGATACAACTATAGTGTTTTCCTCTAACACTGAACGAGGTAATGCTAAACAGACATTGAGCATCTGGATTCCACAGTCCCTCTGTCTACTAGTTATAGGACACGCACCTGTTACAAAGAATGTATTTCTTCAAAACACTAGTATTCATTCAACAATCTCAAACCAACTGTCTCTAACCCAGAACAAAAGAAACCCACTCAGGACCAAGACCCTAGAGACGGAGGACGTGGCTGAAAAGTTTTACTCTCCCTGTGAAATACTGATCCTCTTCTGGGTGGTTTCCCAAAGTCTCCATCCCCATCAGCTTCTCAAGGAGTCATCCCTGGCTCCTTCATGCAAGGGTCCCGTTTATCTTCACCTCACCTTTTACCAACCTTATGTTTTACTTCTTAACTTCCAGCCAGCTCCCACCTATCTCTAACCACCAGTACTGACACAGGTACCTTCCAACTACACAGGAATTACCTAGACAGCCCGCCTGCATGTTGGTGATGGTGGCCAACAAGTGAATCCCAACTTACAGCAATTCCATTTGTAGTTAGATGTCACCAATGGTCAAGCACTTGACTATTATCAAGGGGGGGGGAGTTCAAACCCATCACGGAAGATAACCTGGGCAATCTGTTCCGGAAAGGCCACTCACTCTAAACCACACAGCTATGAAGTCAACTGGCACAACATCATCCACGTCTGCTTCTCCAAAAAGGTACTTTGATCAGGTGTGTCCTATAAAGTATCATCACCTCACCAAACCTGGTTGTCTTTCGGAGTGCAATTCATCTCTACAGAGCATCACCCTCGCCCTGGGTCACACTCTGCAGCTCCCTTGACATCACCTTGCATATCAACACAATCATTACAAATCTCTTGAACTCTTCTATCTCTTGGCTCCAGACCATGTGCATCACTGCTTCCCTGGACTACCACAGTGACTCCCAAACAGCCTACAGGCGTCCACTCGGCTAACCCTCATAAACCCTACATAGAAACTGATCCGCTTCTCAAGCTGCTCTATTTCAAAAAAAAGTCCTTCAGTGGCATCGAGTGTATGTAATACGCAAGTACTTCAAACACCAAGGCCTAGCTCCCATCATCTCTTGAGATTTATCTTGTTTCGTTATTGCCCAGTCACACCATCCTCCTTTGAGGCTTTCAAACTCTATGCCCGCCAAAAAAAAACAAGCAATTGTGACTCTCGGTGGGAGTGAGTGAAGTAAGGGTCTCAAGTACGTCAGAGGTGATGGAGACGCGGCAGCACAGGGTAAGGTCGCGTCTCTTGTTCCGAGGGTTCCTGTAAGTTGTACTCAACTCGACAGCACCTAACAACTAGCCCTCCTCCCCCTCGTTGACAATCAATTCCTACATATCATTCAATACACTTTCAATTAATATCCTTCAATTAAATCCATGATTTGTCTCATAACAGATCACTTTAAGGCATTTAGCCAACTGCAATTTTAGAGTTGTGATTCTTTGGTATTGTTTATTACCCTCAATAACTTTAAAATGCTTGAGAACAATTCTATTTGCTTTTGTTTAGCCTCATATCACTCCACTTTGGAGCAAAGCTCCTGATACCAAAGAAATGTACAATAGTTTTTTCTCATTGTCACGCAATCGGAACCACCCCATAGCTGACCCATCACTGGGTTTCTGAGCATGTAAACTGCACAGGAGATTGTATCTTACTCTTGTTGCTGGTGAATTTGAACCCCCAGAAGAGTGTGACCATTAGTGAGTACACTAACTCCCTACAGAGTGTGTCCAGAAGGAGCTGAATATTTAAGTAAATGTAGCAACAACTTCCTAATACTTAATTCCTTGATAAGGTTTCTTTGTTGTGAGCAGTTCCTTGGTCCTTTTGTTTCCCAAGGCCCTTTTCTTAATTCTACCTGTTTGATGTATATTTCACTGAAATTTATACTGTTGTATTACATAAGTTTAAAAAAAGAGAAAAGGAAAAAAGTCTACCTGGGGAAAAAATAACAAAAGCAAAGTCAAAAGACAAACTAGGGAAACATAATTCTAATTCATTTCATAAAGGAGAGAGAATGTAAGACAGAGTGTGTGAGAGAGACAGAGTGTGTGTGTGTGTATGTACAAATATGACTGTATGACTATGTGAGTGAGAGAGTGAGAGTGTGTGTGTGTACACATACCTCCCAGATACTGATTAGGGGAAAAAAGACTAAAAGCCAAGAGAAAATGTAAAAGGCAGACTGGAAATAAAACAGTTGAAGCAAAAGGATGTTCCACTTAACCCATAAGAAAACTACACACAATTAGTTTATCTTTCTTTATACTTCCCTTGGCAAAAATTTTTAAAAACAAAAGCTGCCATGAGGCCTGTGAAAATACCAAGCAAGATACAAGGTTCTGGTTGGAATGGGTGAAAAAAGAATCAAAACGCAGACTAAAGTTCAGTGGGGGAAGGGTGAAAAGACCAGACTCAGTATCCAGGGAGGGGAAAAAAATTAAAACTGGAGGAACTCCTCAGACCATCGCCCTGAGAAAAGGGGGAAACAAATCTAAAGCCTTCCGTCCCCAGCTGCCACCTTCCTGGCAACACAAGGGCATAAAAACAAACTGGGAGTTGCAGGAGTTTCAGTGCCAGCCCAAATGCAGGCTGCTTGAATTCACCACCAGCTCCCAGGGAGAAAGACAGGCAATCTTCTCCCACGGTATTTACAGCCTTGGAAAATCTGCCAGAGGCTCAACTCTGTGGGGTCAGACTCCACAGCACTTATCAGCCATGGAAAAAGTATTCCTCTGGACGACCGACTATTCAAGACTAACAAGGCAACACCTGTCTGAAACCAAACGGTGGAACTTAGTCTCACAGAGGTTGGGTACGTTGTTAGAGAAGGGGCCAGTCCTTGGGAGGGAAAGCATCGCACTCGGAAAAGTGGAGGGCCAGAGAAGGAGGGAAGACCCTCCAAGAGATGGACTGACACAGTGACTGTAACTATAGGCCCAAGTGAGGCAGAGGAGGAGGGCGCAGGACAGAGCGGGGTTTGGACCCGTCTTCAAAGGGTTGCTGGGTCATGGTCAACTCCAAGGTGACGACAAAGATGAGAAGGCAAAGAGGGGAAAGCAGACGAGAATGAGATGGAAACAGACCAGGAACAAGGTGAGCAGGAAGGAAATGGGCGAGCGCTGACTTACTGCTGGGACTACAACCAGCGTCAAGAACAATCTATGAGCTGACTGTGAAAACCAACTGTCTACATCCATGTCCACCAAAAGCTCGGTAAGATGTTTGCAACAAAGCAGCACCTCCAAATCCAGCCCTGCCACCCTGGCCCAGTGTGGTCTCCAACACTCCACTCCCACCCCCCAGTTTATTTACAAAATTCAAACAAATTCGAACAAATTCTTTCCATTTCCCTCACCCATCAAATTCTACAACCGAATGATTAATCCCCTCTTCCCCCTGCACATCCACATCCCTCTGCTTCCAGCCTCTCCCACCCCTCCTGGATCCTTATACTCCTACAAAAAATGGTTTTATACAATATTTATCCTTGTGGGACTGAGTTCACTCAGCATAATGCTCTCCAGTCCCTCCCAAGTTAGGTAATAATTTATACAATTATTGCTCCTGCATGCTACATTTCTTAAGCTTTTTCAAACTTCCATTTTCTAACTGTAAAAGGAAATAAGGAAGGACATCCTTGTAGGACTGCTGTGAAGATTACATAATAGCCTAAGGAATAACATACAGAACATTATCAAGTAATTAAGTATTTCTATTTTATTATTACCTCCACCACAAAACTCCGGATACTATTTTCTTCCATCTAAAACCAAAAAAAAGCCCTCAAACTGTAATACTTTGAGCAAGAATTCCCAGAGCAAACAGGTTTTCCCATCAATCATTCAAATTTGTTTTTTGTGATTTTAATTCCTGTCCTCACAGTCCCAGAACTGAGAGTCAGATGCAATCATTCCAGAAGTCACCATACTCCTCTTTGATGACGTCAACTGGCCTAAGAGAAATACGTTAAAGATGCTGATTCTAATGTTCACGTTTAAAAAAAAAAAAAAAAAAACGCCATTCATACAGATGACCTTAGAATAAAGCTCAATGTAAACAAAACTCACCTACACAAGAACTTCAAAAACCTGTCATTTTCTCGACTCTCAGTCATGAGCTGATGAAATGTTAAGAGATACCTGACAGCTTGATTTCATTGATACGTTTATGATGTACAGACATTTGCCCCATCGCCGTGTGCAAGCACCACCATTTATTCCATTTACTGTTCATGGACATTTGGGCAATGTCCAGTTTACAGATAATACTGCTCAAATTATCTTACGCTGGACACAGGAATTTGTCAGGAAATTTCACTTGTTGATTCACAAGACATATGTAAACTCAATTTAAAAGACAAAGCTAATCAGTTTAACAACATGATTATGATGCTGACCACATTCCAACGGACACACAGGAGAGTTGCAAATGCCCTACACCCTTAGCCAAGCCTCTGGATCATCAGGCTTTCTGACCATAGGCACTCTGATGGGTATGCATTGGTGTTTGTAATT